TTCCTTCTGTTCCTGCCATTTTCCCTAGAAAGATTACTTAACAAAATCCCAACGCCTTCGATTGTTTGAAGCGGCGCAGCGAGGTGGAGCTCTGAAATTTCATATTGGCGGCTAGGTACGAAATCCTCTTCTTAATCTTTCGTTCTCTTTATATTTTCACAACGTGAAGAAAGAAAACAAACAAATCCCTTAATTCTCCTCTACATTTCGTCGGATCTGTCTTTACGTTTCGGATCTATAAATTTTGTGCTTAGATATGGGGTTTGGCAGGTAAGTTGATCCTTACTAGTTCTCTCTATTTCAAAGTGAAAATCAACAAATCAGAGCAAAGATGTAATATAGAGCAACCCCTTATTAACCCCTGCTAAGTGCTAACTAACAACTTACCCGTATTCTGAAAATAATCAACCCTAATTTGATCGATTCGTTCTTATAATTCTTAATGAATTAGGGATTTTATAAAGTTGTGTTTCTTGTATTGTTAATAATAATGTAATTTTTTTATTCTGATCCAATTGACGTTTGGAAGTTTAACTTTTCTATTTTATTATATTTCAGGAGATAAAGAGAAGATGTGTGTTGGTATCGAGCTGTATTATTGCGAAGATAAATGATTGTACGTTTATAATAGGAGATAATAGCCAGCACACTTTATAGATTTAATTCGTCTTTTAGTTGATACCATCTATTGTTTTGCTAAGGATGTTTAGTCTTGCAAATGTTGAATCCTGGTATTCTTATTATGCAATTGTGACGATGTTCTAGTATATTTGCTTTTATTTATTTATGAAGATGATTCGATGACATTTTTCTATATTGAGATATGCGTACATCCCTAGATTGTTCCCAACGGTTCACTTGAAATCTAACAGATAACCCTTCGTTGATCGTTTCCTAGAACTTACATACGTAACAATTTGTTGTTCGTTATAATATTGATTAAGGGGCATGTGTTCGTCCCTGCTAGTTAATAGGTGACAATTAGATGTCCCCGGAAATACATTGTAAAAGACAATTGGTCGTCCCCACAAGTGATATAGGTGACAATTAGTCGTCCTCAAAGACACATGCTAAAGGACAACAAGTCGTTCATACGCATTACATATGAAACAACTTATTGCTCCCAGAATGTGCATGAGTCACAATTCCTTGTCCCCCAACACACAAGTTTAAGGGACAATTGTTCGTCCCTAAAATTCATAGGAGACAACTTGTCATCTCTAAAGATATAGAATAGGAGACCACTCCCAGTGCTTGAATAAAGCTTTTGGAGACAATTTCAGACTCCAATTTGATACCTATGGGAACAACATTTCAACCCTATAAAAAGAAAAAGGGGGACGATATATTATCCACCTATAAGCCCAACACAATCATAAATTGGTTATTTGGGACAACAGTTTAACCCCGGAAGTGATGTTTAGGGACGACTTATTGCCCTTGCAGTTATAGCTATAGGGACAACATGTTGTCTTTCATAGAGGAAAATGAGACGACAACTTGCGAGAATTGGGGACGACTATCGTCCCTAGTAATGGGGACGACCTATATTTTTGTCGTCCCCAATAGAATAGAGGACAAGAGTATAGGGAACCACACATTAGGGACGACTTAGTCGTCCCCAAAAACTATAGAGACAATTTTTCCTATTTTCAGGGACAACTTTTGTCGTCCCCAAACCTCCTCTTTTTTGTAGTGACTTGATCTTGAAGTAATCTCTCAACTTGCCCTTCTGTTCAAGAAACAATCTAAAACGATCTTCTCTAATTGTTTTTCTACCTGGAATCTTAAACGTCGGACAAGCACGAGCCATGAAGCGCTTAAAGCCTTCTTTCTCAACACTCTTAAAAGGCATTTCATCTAGAATTATCATTTCAATTAACCCAGCTCTGATAAATGCTTGATCAAATTTCCAAGTCCCCAAAACTCCTTGCCCTTCAACAGAACTTGGATTGAGTTCTAAATTCAACTGCTTCCCCTTTTCTTGTAGTTTCTTTAAGCACCTTATAGTATGCCTACCCAAAGAACTTGTACCATTTCCCGAGGGATCCCCAGCCAATGACTTTCCACAGTAATGACACTTTGCCTTCTTCTTGCCTTTAGCATCTTTGTAACAATCATAATGATTCCATACAGGTGATCTTAACGTGTACTCCCTACTGCTCTTATCCGTTACAGGTGTTGTTGTGGTATTGGTAGCTGCTGGTTGTTCTTGTTCTTGAGTTGTAGCAGCTTGAACATAACATTACCACTGTTATTCCCACTTTCAACAGCTGCCTTTGAAGCTTGCGGTTGTGATCGCTTCTTACTAGGAAGAGGAGGCAAATTATCACCTTCTCTTGCTGCCGGTACTAGCTTCTTAGTACCCTGCACAAAACAATTCAATCTATATAAGAAAATGCACATTTTTGCCTTCTCCATTGAAGAACAAACAACCTAGCTACTGCTCACTAATCCCCTCTATCTTTCACCATTCAATTCATCACATTCCACCAATCAATTAATCACTAAAATTAAGCAACGATAAACTACAACTAATTACAAATAATATTAGTAACTTACCTAGCTGCTGCTCCCTTCCATATTTCTGAGTTTGGAGGCTGCTGCCGGCTGTGCTAGTCGACGAACAGAGGACGGCGAGCCGACGAGATGCAGAGCCGACGAGATGGAGTGGAGGGCGGAGGCTGGCTTGGTTGCGACGGGCCGACGGCTACTTAACGGATAATTGGATGGAAGGGTAAATTCGTTACGTTTTAATATTAGAAGGATATGTTTGTGCAAAATTTTTGGTAAAAGGGTACATTTGTTAATTTAATGTAATAGAGGGGCACATAATGCTATTAACCCTTCTAAATGTTTAAAATATTTACGTAAAAGTGTTATGAACTCTTATAGAAGCTTTCGTACCAGAATAGGCTTTGGATATGGGTGGTTTGGGTAGTTGTTGGGTAACACAACTTGGGTTATGAATTGACGCTACTTATTACCAAGAATTGTAAAACCGTAACGAAAGTTATAGTCGAAAAGTCAGTAGTATAGTATTTTATAATAATTGGTGGGTCGACTATTTCGTACAGCTAAAATCACTTACCCTTTGGATCCTGTACTCGATATCTTTTATCAAACCGTACGGTATGGTAGGATTTCTAAAACTTAGCTTATTACGAGTTTTCGTGGTGCTATAGAAGGCTTGATTATACAAGTTGAACATAACTTCTGGTGGGTAAAAGTACATATTGATGTAACTTTGAATCAGATAATCTGTCATCGACTGGAAGTCACATAGATCTTTGTGCTGGATCTGATATGTAATTTTATTCTTTACCGAATTGGATTAGTGTTAGGCCATTTGGAAAAGTACTATAAATATTTCTCATACTTTTCTGTAATCGGCAATCTTCTCAAGTGTAATGAAGCTGACTCTTTCTTTGCCCGTGGACTAACCAACACAACGTAAAGCTCAACATTCTTTACTTTCTTTTTTATCGTTTTATTTCTTGTTATTGTTGATTGCAATGGTATGTGCTCGTAGCATTGCTTTTTTTTTTAAGATCTAAGTACCACCTTGTAAGAAGCTCGAACTTGAGTGATCATTGGAACGTGTTAGGATGGTTACTAAATTTCTAGTAGCCACCTTGGCTACATCAATATCCACCATCCATTTTTTTTCTTTTTCCTATTTTTTTAATCTCACGATTATGATTGCTCAAGGATAATTTTGGAAACAAAAAATAAACCACACTGGATTATTCTATATATACACAAACCCTAATTCTACCCTCCTCCTTCCAACCAAACCCACGCGCCGGCAGTCTCTCCCCTTCCCCGCCGTCCCTCTCTTCCTCCTCCACCCCTCCCTCCTTCCTCCCCCTCCTCTCCCCTCCCCATCCCATCCCACCCCCTCCCCCCGCCTACCCCCTCCCACGTCGACCCCTACCCCCGCCGATCCATCCCTCTCCCCTAACCACCCCACCCCCTCCCCCCTTCGTCCATGCCTCTCTCTCTCTCTCTCTCTCTCTCTCTCTCTCTCTCTCTCTACTCAGCAGCAGGGAGGAGTCGATGGACAAGTGACCTGAACCGCGAAGGTCGTCAAAACAATCGACGGCGCTGTTCATCCTTTTATTTCCGACCCTCTCGCCTTAATGGTATTGTTTTTGTTGCATTGGTATTAATTTTGTTGCATTGGTATTATTTTTGTTGCATTGGTATTTATTATCATGTAATGGTAGTAATTTGCATGTACTGCTATTGATTAAATCTGCAATGGTATTGATTTTTTGTGAAATGATATAGATTATATTGGTAGATTGTTTATATTGGTAGTTTTCGTGTAAATGTATAGATTTATTTCTGCAATGGTATTGATATTTTTCAAAATGATAGTGGTTGTCTAATGGATTGGTAGTGATTTCGTGTTTTTTTCTTTTGCAGAAAGATTGAGAAAAATAAGGAAAGAGGATCTGGCTGGATATTATGGAAGTGAGAGAAAGAGTAATTAATAGATTCTTGTAACTACCTAAAATGTAATTTATTAAAAAAATTAATTAATATAATTTATTTTTCATACCCAATTTACCCTTAGTAACCACGGTGATTACTGGTGATCTATCCCAGTGATCATTCATGCGCAGGGACATCTGGGCCCTACGACGCAAATTTGGAACAATGTTTTCATTTTTCTCTTTTTTCCAGGGATAATAACAAATTGGTAGCCAGCTTAGCTCAGCCGCTGCGACGACTTGGGGTTCTTTTCTCCGGCGGAGTTCCTCCAATGTTCTAATCCTCATTATTGTTAGTGTTTACCCCGTCTTTTCTAAGTCCAGGTGTTAGCCGGCTTTTGTCTCGCCTCCACCTCTGCTCTGTTCTGCTTCCCCAACTCCCTTTCTTTTCTTGCTAGACTAATCAACACACCACGACTCCACGAGCTCCTATTACTGCAAATTTCATCCATCCCGAAGTCCCCAGTTTCTTCTTCTGGATTGGGTTTCCCTTCTACGAGGATGATTATTACGACGATGAAGCGTTACCTTCCCGCAACAAGGCTCATCAACTGGCATTTGGGATTCAGCAGTTTCACTTTCTCTCTGGTATCCCCCTCTCGTTGTTGTTTGCTTGAAAAAGATCCTGAATTTGTTGTCATTTGTCGAAACCCACAAATCCAATTTTGATGTAGGGAAAAGCTTGGAACTTTAATCAGATTTGTTAATTGTTAAGGGATCATCGGAATTCATCTTTAGCATGTCTAGTCAACGCCTTCATAACTTTCCCTGTTCTATTTTCTTCAATCCTGTTTCTTATAGCTAACTCCATGATGGTTTGCCCGAAAAGCTTTCAGCTTTAGTTAGACTCTGTAGCTATACTTGAAAATAGATACGGTGGCTAGCTTGTTTAGTTCCTGAAAGGGTGCCAAACCTTTTACTGCTCCATGTTTGGTAGATAGCATCAATTTTCCTTCTTTGGCCTGCTGCAGGTCAATAATGGTGGCGGTGGCAGCGGGTTCTTCAATGCCTATGCGACCTCTTGTGCGAAGCTGCAGGATGATCCAGCAAATGCTAATGCTAACAACAATCCATATTCTGATATGTTGGTTGATTCATTTGGAAGGATGCATACTTACCTTAGAATCTCATTGACAGAACGCTGCAACCTTCGCTGTCAATACTGTATGCCATCTGAAGGTGTGGACCTCACTCCTTCACCTCAGCTGCTCGCTCCAAACGAGATTGTTCGTTTGGCCAGTCTATTTGTGGCTTCCGGGGTCAACAAAATTCGCTTGACTGGTGGCGAGCCAACCATTAGGAAAGATATTGAGGAGATATGCTCTCAATTGTCCAATTTGAAAGGCCTCGAGAAGCTTGCAATGACTACCAATGGAATTGTGCTTGCCAAGAAGCTTCCCAAGCTTAAAGAAAGTGGACTTACTTCCATCAATATCAGTTTGGATACTTTAGTACCTGCAAAGTTTGAATTCTTTACCAGGCGTAAAGGGTTTGAGAGGGTTATGGAGTCAATTCATGCAGCTGTGGAGTGCGGCTACAATCCCGTGAAAGTAACCTACTTTCCTGTAGTCCATTTCAGTTTCATCACATTTCACAATGATGTCCATGCAAGACGTAATCTGACTTCTGCTTAGGTGAACTGTGTCGTTATGCGTGGCTTAAATGATGAAGAGATGTGCGATTTTGTGGAGTTGACCCGGGATAGACCAATTAATGTTCGATTCATTGAGTTCATGCCATTTGATGGAAATGTTTGGAATGTCAAGAAGCTTGTACCTTATGCAGAAATGTTAGATAGAGTGGTAAGGTAGAATTCTTGACACACAATGGTGTATAGAAATTTCTTAGTGTTCCCCTTTATATCCTTTGATAGCTTGTGCACTTGGACAGGTGAAGCAGTTTCCAAGTTTGGAGAGAATTCAGGATCACCCTACTGAAACTGCCAAGAACTTCAAGATAGACGGGCATGTTGGCACCGTTTCTTTTATCACCTCAATGACCGAGCATTTTTGTGCTGGTTGCAACAGGCTGCGACTTTTAGCTGATGGAAATTTCAAAGTCTGCCTTTTTGGCCCTTCAGAGGTGAACTTTTCTACTAGCTTATTAACTCTCATCTCTGATTTACTTATGTTGATGCCTGTACTCCTTTAGCTTGTTCAGTGCTGTGACCACCCCCAGTCTGATATCTTTGTCCCTACATATTTATGACAAGTTGCCTAGGAAGTAGATCGGTTTGTTACGAACTGTTTGCTTCGTGGAGTCTTCTAGTTGCAATACCCATTTGGTCTTTTTGTAGTGAACATATGCTCTATGTTTGTTGCTTTATCATGTTTTCTATAGTTTATGCATATTAATCCGTCCATGCTGTTTATTGCTCATTTGATTGTTTTATCAGGTTAGCTTAAGAGATCCCCTTCGCAATGGCGCTGACGAGAATGAGCTTAGAGAAATAATAGGGGCAGCGGTATGCAAATTATTTGTCAATTCATCCCTTTGAGATTAGTGTAAGACATAGAAACAATGTGCAGGTTAGGTGTGTGGTCTTAGTATCTTGCACAGTTTCTGATTCAAGCGCTTGTTTTTCCTCGTGAACAAGTAAAACAATGGTTATTACCTGGGGAAACGAATAGTAACTAGAATAGTTCAACGGAGTTTATGATGGTTAAGCTCTTTGTTTGGCTTTTTCTAAGCTATTCCGTAATTCATGTTAGTTTGGGTTTCAGGTGAAGAGGAAAAAAGCTTCGCATGCTGGAATGTTTGATCTTGCAAAAACGGCAAATAGACCTATGATACATATTGGTGGCTGAGGTTTGTTGCATAGCTCTTCATTCTCCTCTCCCTTCAGTGCCGTATGTTGACCATTTGTGTGCATTACTGCACAGCATGGATCGATAGTTTTAATGATGTTTTCGCTTTCTTGTTTAGGATGATCGAAAATCTGAAAAAGAAATAGATATTCGGGTTTAAACTATATATTATTGAAAATAATGGGTAAATTAGGAAGATCTGGGGTTGTATAGTTGGAACGATTGGAATAATAGACTAACAGCATGGATAGGTTGTTTTCAACACGAGGGGTTCATTTGGATCGAAGACGTGGGACCCTGGACATATTTTAGCTCGAACTCGTTTAGTTGTTATTCGAGCTATATGTGGTAAATGAAGGTCCTAATGAAACCAGTTTCTTTGTTGGAATTTGGATTCAGGCTCAATAGGGGGCAGGTGTATTCTATCTTTAGCGGCCAACTTGAAGCAAATATGTTGAGTAAAGCAAACCCAGTATAAAGAAGGGGGGAAATTTTCAGTTGCAGTCAGGCTCTATGACTGCGATGGGGGAATTACTCGTTGTGTAACTTACGACAGAGGTTTTTTTCAGTGTCTGTCATACCGGTAGTTATTGTTCAGGTTCCTCAATCAGATGATAATGTTGTAATCTTTGTTGCAAAGAAGAGAGGAAGGGGGAAAGTGATGGATGGATTGATGGAGGATACGTAACTTGCAAGGTACTTCTTGAAGGCAACCTCATAATAATGCTTTTCAAAACAGCTCTGTTTGCCGTTTGTAACTTATGTAAAAAATATAGGGCAACTCATAATCTTGTGGGGTTCCCTCCCAATAAAATTTCACTCTCAGTATCAATAATCTTTCTCTAGAAAGATGGGTCTTGTCTCTCTTATCTTATTATTATGAGATGGCACCAACTAGCCGGCCACCTGAAATCCATACCAGAAGCACAAAGAAGTGAAGAGCAGAAGCACAGAAATTTCAAAACAAAACAAACGAATCGAATTGATGTAATCATGTAAACTCCTCAATGGTGTCGCAGAAATTGTGGAGGGGAAGAAGCTGGAAGCGGCAGAGAGGGCAGGAGGATTTGTGGAGGGAAAGCCAGGGGATGATGCAATGGGAATGGAAGAAATGAGAACAGGGGAGTTGCTTGACCTCCTCACCCGCCACAAACAGCTCCTTGCACACCGCACATTCCAGAACCGGATCGATTTCCAGCGACAGAGGCTCGATTTCGACGCTAGGGATCATCACATTCGCCAACGACGATGGCGACGATATCGACGAGTTTTCCATTGAATCCAGTAGTTCCAAGTACTGGACGTCGCAGTTACTGTGACAGGCGTTGAAGGCGCAGTGATGACGCACGAGGAAGCGGCGGAACGAGGGGCTGTCGACGAGGAACAGGTTGGCAGTGTCGATGTCGTCGGAGCCGGAGGCATGATTGGCATGATCAACGATGATGTCGTCCATGAGGTGAAGAGGCTGACGGTGGCAATGCGGGCAAGATGGAACAGCGCCGGCGGAGGAGGTGATTAGAAGGCGGATGCTCACGTCGCAGCCGGCGCACCAGAATGTCAGAGCTTCCCGCCGGTGTTCTTGATCTTCTTGTTCTTCATCATCGGCGGGGGTTGACATTTTTTTGCTTCCCCTTGGCTTGGATCTGTTTCTGCTGGTGGTTTGTGTTAACCAAAATCAAAGGCATGAGTTGGTGTTATTTATTAATTTCTCTTGGAGGGAAAAGGAAGATGGAGCCTAGTGAAAGGCAAGTAAGGTCTACTGAAAGTTTTAAAACCCACCTCCATTTTTACCCACCGGAACTGGAATTGACAACCAAATAGAAAAAGATCACAAAGTTGACATTGTAGCGTACGGAGGTTGATACATGTTAGAAATCTATTTTTAGGGTTCTAACGATCGAGAAATCTATTTCTAGGGTTCTAACGATCGAGTGATAAGATTGGGAACTCATAGATATTTAGAGATTGTTGGGGAAGAACAAAATTGGGGATTAGGGATTTAGAAGAGGAAATTGGGGATCGAGGAGAAGAATGGCCGACGGCCTAGGGATAGGTGACGAATTTGAGAGAGATTAATTAGGGTTTGAGATACTTTTCTGAATAATTGTTCTTGCTTGATTATGAATAAAACGCAAAATACATATTTATAACGAAAGATAGGAAAATCTAATATTAAACCTAATTCTACTAAAAGACTACTAACTGTATTTAATAAAACCTAATAATAATGATAATATAATTATGGTAGAAACCCCGTTTTCTTAAGGAAAACGTGTTTCTAACATCCCCTCCCCCTTGACACCAACCTTGCTCTCAAGGTTGATCAACTCGACCCACTTCTTCCCGTCTACTGTGCAATCCACGCTGTGGCTCCTCAATTTATTGCGTTTTCTTTTCTTCCAATCATGCTCCAACTCTTCGCTTGAACTTCTTGCTTTGACCTTCTTGTGTTGATCAAAAGTTGTAAATTTCATTTCTGATGGCCCAACTCTTGATGGCTCGCGAAATCCCCACGTCAATAACTTTACTTTCATTGTCATCTTCCTCCATGAGCTCAAGGAATCGAAAGATGCTTCTTCGTACCAGAATCTATCCTTAAAAACCAAATTATAAAGGCCCTCAAAACTCTTTATTGGGTTTAGCCAATTAAATTGCATCATTGCTTCTTCCCATGTTTTTGGGCCAGACTTCCTCGAAACCCCACAAGCTAAACCCTTCGGCCCTTCTTCCTCCAAGCCCACGTTCCTAAAATTACAGCCCCTGTTCGGCCTTATCCTCTCTTGCAGGCTCGACCCACCCTCTTCAAGTTTCAGCCCAAAACAGAACAAGAAATACTCAGTCAAAGGGCTCATTTGAAGCCCAAATCCTCCTTGCATACTTGACAAATTTGTTTCTTGACAATGGTTGGGCTCTCTCTGACTTGGCCCACATGCTAATCCTCCCTCGGCCCGGGTTGACTGATCAATCCCAACGAAACCAATGATTTCCAGACCCATTACCCAACTTGCTCGGCCCGATCCAGCTCCCCCTAGCCGATCCGTTCGTTCAACCCTAGGCGACCAAGGTTTGGCGAAACCCATGAAATCCCCGCCGCCACCAACCTCCTTCGCCTTCTTCCTCGTCTCCTTCTTCGATGTCCCCGGCGGCGACCAGCGCGACCCGACGTTTTGAGGACCATCCCGACGCCGACCTCATCTTCGGCTCCTTCTCTGGCGACTCGATCTTCTTCCTTGATCCTTTTCCCGGCCACGAGCGAACCGTTAGGCGGATGGCAGGCGATGACGGAGCCGCCCCGCTCAACACCTGCGCTGCCTTCTCCGTGGTGCCGCCGTTCGCCAGGAGATGGACTCTCGTGCTCCCCTTCTTCTGGTACCGCCAGTTCGCCACTCGGGCCGTGACTGACCTCCTCTCCGGCCCCTTAGTTCGGGTTTCTTCCTTAGAGGCGTTGGTCCTCTCACCTTCTTCCTCACTCACGATCGCAACAGTAGCCTCGGTAGCCTTGGATGGTTGTTCAATCGCTGCAAGTGATGTTGATGATGAAGTCGCAGTCATGGTGACTAATGTTGTCGGAAGCTGCTGCTGTTTGTTGGTGACATTTGGAAGCTCTTCCGTGGCTGGCGGCTCGATGGCCAAAACCTCCTTCATGTCCGGTTGCTCTGCTCGCCTCTCAATGTCACCGTGTGAGTCAACTTGCACAACCAGCGGTTGCTCTTCTCCTGTGGAAGCACACCCGGTCGGCAGCTCCTCGGAGCTCCAACGACGGCCGATGCGCCGAGCCCGTTCACGCAGCTCTGCCCACGACAGGTTCGAGAGCTGCAGAGGTAGTTCTCTGTCAGTCTCCTTGGGCATCACTTCCTCTTGTGCGATCGGTAGCTCCTCGGGGATCCAACGACGTCCGATGCGGCGGGCCTGTTCCCGCAGTTCCGCCCATGACAGGTCCGAGAGCCTTGAAGAGCTCATCGTCGAACCAGTTGTAGAACTCATCCCCGGTTGAGAGTTGTGAAAAACTCAATTCTCGAAACCAGGCTCTGATACCAAATGTTAGAAACCTATTTCTAGGGTTCTAACGATCGAGTGATAAGATTGGGAATTGATAGATATTTAGGGATTGAGATAGAATTGGGGAAGAACAGAATTGGGGATTAGGGATTTAGAAGAGGAAATTGGGGATCGAGGAGAAGAATGGCCGACGGCCTAGGGATAGGTGACGAATTTGAGAGAGATTAGGGTTTGAGATACTTTTCTGAATAATTGTTCTTGCTTGATTATGAATAAAACGCAAAGTACATATTTATAACGAAAGATAGGAAAACCTAATACTAAACCTAATTCTACTAAAAGACTACCAACCATATTTAATAAAACCTAATAATAATGATAATATAATTATGGTAGAAACCCGTTTTCTTAAGGAAAACGTGTTTCTAACAATACACTAATGATAAAGGGAAATGTTACGGCTTAAAATTGTGAACCCGATATAAGTTTTGACTTAGCTAATTATATTTTATAGAAATAATCAAGATCTTGTCATATGAATATGATAGAGAAACAATTTATTTGTAAAATTACCACCGCGCCGATGCAATGATCGTGACGCACCTTCGTTATCCAACATATATTTGCGCCGTTAGTGGTGGACCTAAGTTAGATCTAGACTTGTCAATTGACAAACCTTGTTCCCGTTATTTGACAAAATTTCTTTGAAATTTTTTATTTTAGTGATGATAGTATTTGAACTCAAGGCTATTTGACAATCCTTGATAATTTTGTTTCATCGCTGAATACCCTTCATGTAATTACTGGATTCGCCATTGGCGCCTGTGAATACGTCTTCATAGAATGGCCGCTAGCACTAAGTAGGGTTGCAGATGAGCCAAATCAAGCTGAGTTTGACCCCAGTTTGAGCTCAGCTTGTTAGTGAATGAGCTTAGCTCAGAGCTCGACTCGTTTATTAACGAGGCGAGTCGATCTCGACCTAGACTTGTTTACCAAAATCTTGACTCTTTCTCCAAAAAGAAAAACTAAAATCTTGACTCGTATTTGATACTACATTTTGTATGTCATGTATGATACATGTGATTGAGGTTATGATGGGGAAAAAAATAATAGTCAAGTATTCAATATTAATTGATCGCATATTATACTTTGTTGTATGAGATTATATAGTTAATAAATTTTAGGGTATGCCTACTATGACATGCATGTCACGGTGACATGCACTTTTCGGTCGACCTATTCCTGAAGGCGGTCGACCGAATTGACTAATTTGGGCAGCACGAGAAAGCATTGCGGTCGACCTCAACGACCACTTGGTCGACCGCACTTAGTTTAAGTTGTTATTTTTGGTCGACCAGAATAAAACCTGGGTCGGCCATTTCGTTGGCGTCAGAAACAACATGGTCGACCACCTAAGGTATATAGGTCGACCACTTGATGGCAGTCATTAACAAAATGGTCGACCGGATAAGGAAAGAGGTCGACCAGATATAAGATAAGTGTTCTATCAAAGTGTCCAATCATTTGACGTAAAATGAAGATCAAGTGTTGGTTTCGCGGTCGACCTAATCCGGTACGAGGTCGACCGAATACAAGAAAGTCAACCTATGCCCCGTGTCTTTTTTGCTTATGTATGGATATTTGTGTGGTTCTTTTAATCGTATAAATTATGTTTCAAACCATCATAATTAGTCATAAATAATTATAACAAAGACTCATCAATTCATAGCATAACAACTAAAAATAAAACAGAAATCATAATTGTTCACACATAAAAATAAAACTAAAAAAACAACAGAATAACAATCAACAATCGTTTTGACCACTAAAACACACAATATAAAATCTCCTCTCTCCTACTCATCTCCCCCCCCCCCCTTCTCTCATCCACATTTTCTTCATTGGTGGTGCTAGCATGATGGTGGTCGGATGTGGTGGGATGCATGTATCTTCCGCTGAAAGATCGCCACTCATCTCGCATCTCATTCACGGTCACCTGCATTGTGCTCATCTGGGCGGTCATTTTCCCCATGTAGTCGTGCATGCCAGTCATCTGGGTGGACATCTGGCCCATGTACTCGTACATGCCATCCATGCACTCCCACACATGTTGTAAGGTGATCGGTGGAGTTGAACTCTATGCCTCCGCCATTGGCTCGTCTCGAGCTCCTTCATCACCATCATCATCCTCATCATCATCATCATCACCACCATGAGCATTGTTTACTCTGACATACTCACCATTACGCAGCTCAAAGCCCATCTTTTTCATAGATGAAACAGTATAGAACTCCTGCCTTGAGATTCTTAACCCCACCTCTTCACTTAAATTCACATTCAAATGCTCAAATAGTACAGTGAGGATCATCCCATAGGGAAGATTCCTGTTTGAACTCTCTGCAGCAGTAAGCATGTGGTTAAAGATCAAGTATGGCAAGTTCACCTTCTCGTTTAACAGTAGGTTGGTGAGGAGCTCCATGTCGAAGTAGGTGACTGTCTCCCGATGTCCACCCTTTGGCAGAATGTTGTAGGAAAGCATGTGGTGAAGAACTCTGGCTTGAACTGTCAGGTGGTTACTCGTTGGCCTATTGCGCCCCTGAGCATCTTCCTCTTCATCAAGACCACATACAGTCTGGATTTGCTTGGCTCTCGTGAAATGCGTTTCATTCCAAGCACCGTAATAATTGATTCTCTTCCCCTCGTTTGGAGCCTCCAGTACTTGCCCCAACACATTCTTGCTGATGCGCATCGCCACCCCATTCACATAGGATTTGAATGCGTGAATGGATCCATTTGCATTGCCCTCGTAGACGATGTTGTTGGAGAAGTATTGTACCAGTTTTAGGTAGTATGGTACATTGAGTGATATCACCTTCAGCCACTCTTGCTCGATGAAGGGTCCCAGAAACCCGTAATTCTCGAAATGAGAATACGCATCCGTCGTCAATGGCCTTCCCGGAGCCACCCTGCGGTTGTGCATTCTCTTCTCTTCATAGTTCTCACTTTGCTCCTTGGTCTGGAACATATTGGGATTGAACTCTTCCCATTCCGAACTTGAGGCAGCAGCTTTTTGTGCCTTTCTTTTCTTTTTGACGGCAAACATCCTGCGATCAAACAAGCAAGAATACACGTTAGTCACATTTTCGAAATGAACAATACGCGGTCGACCACTCCATAAAGCGGTCGACCTCAGTTAATTTAAAACGAGAATGGGTCGACCTCAGAAGAATCATAGGTCGACCTCAGTTAGTTTAAAACGAGAATGGGTCGACCTCAGAAGAAGCATAGATCGACCTCAGTTAATTTAAAACGAAAATTATATGCTTCGGTCGGTGGTCGGAGCTCCTAATAGGTAATTTGGTTAACCGAGTAACCAAAAACCGGTTATCCGGTTAACCGACAATAACCGAAAATAACCGACCGACCACCCCCCTCACCAAATCGATGTGAAAATACCCGGTTATGAAGTTTATAATTTTATGTTGTTGAATTTGAGACATTAATTTGGTGATTTAGATGTAGAAATGTAAGTTAGAACCTTTCATTTTAGGCAATTCTAATAATTTTACCCGGTTAAAACCGAACCACCATCATTTTTTCGGTTATCTCGGTTAACCGACCAACTAACCGATAACCGACCGGTCGGTTATTGGTTAACCGAGGCATTGGCGTCGGTCGGTGTTCGGTAGGGGGAGATGGTGGTTCGGTTAACCGGTAACCGACCAATCGGTTATCGGTTATAACCGAACCGAATCCACCCCTAAGTGCAGTTCAGGACATTAGACCACCTTGGAATGCACTCGAAGACACAAACGTCTGCTGCCTTCACCGAGTTATCCTTTGCAACCCTATGCCGGTCACCAACAAGCAAAGGAGAACTCGGTGAAGGCAGCAGACTTTTGTGTCTTCGAGTGCATTACAAGGTGGCCTAATGTCCTGCACTGCACTCCCCATGAACATTTGGCTTTCAATCGATTTAAATGGCCCGAGGTCGACCTCAATATCATCACAGGTCGACCTCAACAAGTTTAGCACAAATAACTCGAACTTTTTCCTTCATAGGTCGACCTCAGAAGCATCATAGGTTGACCTCGGCTAAATTGAAACGAGCCCGAAATGGCCCAAATGCTCGTACCAATTGAGTGCAAAACAGATCCGGTTGACCTCATAATTAGAAGAGGTCGACCAGTGTTAGTTTCGCACAAATAAGTCAAAGACAATGGCACAACTCGAACTTTTGCCTTCATAGGTCGACCTCAGAAGCATCATAGGTCGACCTCGGCTAAATTGAAACGAGCCCGAAATGGCCCAAATGCTCGTACCAATTGAGTGCAAAACATATCCGGGCGACCTCATAATTAGAAGAGGTCGACCAGTGTTAGTTTCGCACAAATAAGTCAAAGACAATGGCACAACTCGAACTTTTGCCTTCATAGGTCGACCTCAGAAGCATCATAGGTCGACCTCGGCTAAATTGAAACGAGCCCGAAATGGCCCAAATGCTCGTACCAATTGAGTGCAAAACAGATCCGGTCGACCTCATAATTAGAAGAGGTCGACCAGTGTTAGTTCCGCACAAATAAGTCAAAGACAATGGCACAACTCGAACTTTTGCCTTCATAGGTCGACCTCAGAAGCATCATAGGTCGACCTCGGCTAAATTGAAACGAGTCCGAAATGGCCCAAATGCTCGTACCAATTGAGTGCAAAACAGATCCGGTCGACCTCATAATTAGAAGAGGTCGACCAGTGTTAGTTTCACACAAATAAGTCAAAGACAATGGCACAACTCGAACTTTTGCCTTCATAGGTCGACCTCAAAAGCATCATAGGTCGACCTCGGCTAAATTGAGACGAGTCCGAATAAGGTTAAATACTCGTACCAAAACGTCACAAGTCGACCTCAATATCATCACAGGTCGACCTCAGTCTATACACCAAAAGAAAAAATCGAATGAAAGCCAGATGCGGTCGA